GAGCGCACAGAGAGCGACGGGCCAGCAGGGTGGGCGGGGGGAGGGGGGGGGGCTACCGCGATGCTGGCCGTTGCCTGGCCCGAGCCGGGGCGTGCGCCGCTGCACATATCCCAATCCGCGTGGCAGATTGAGGAGCGTTCGGCCCGAGTGGGCAGCCACGGCGCCGTCCGCCCCGCACACTAATGCGCACGCTCGCGGTCGCGCGCTGCTTGTCCGCCTGCTGCAGCAAGGCGGGGCGCGCGGCCACGGACCCGCCGTGCATCCAAGCGGGCACGGGGCCCTCACTTGCTGGGGGGCGCACGCTTGCGTCGGCACGCGCACACGCAGGTGCATGGAACCGCGCGGGCCAACCCTGCGCGCGCGCGCGCGTGCACACACACACACACACACACACACACACACACCTCGTGGGCGTGCTGGACGACAATTGCCCCCAGGGCGAGCACGGTTTCCTGAAACAGCGCCCGGTCGGCCCGCGGGGCGTCGCAGAAGTTCTTGGTCACCTGGTGACGCGCACGAGAGGACGGCTGTGAAGACGAGCGTAAAATTTACGGTCGCGCTGGGCGGCAACAAGGCTGGCGTCAAAGGGAGGCGTAGTGTGTGTGGATGTGAGAGAGACGTATAAACGAGGAGTGAGCGTGTGTGTGTGTGTGTTGTGGGGGGGGGGCTTTTGCGTGTGTGCGCACGCATGTGTGTGTGTGTGTGTGTTTGTGTGTGTGTGTGCGCACGCATGTGTGTGTGTGTGTGTGTGTGTGCGCGTGTGCGCGCGCACGCGCGTGCGTGTGCACGCGCCGTCGCCGCATGCGCAAAGTCGACGTTGCCGCCGCGGCTCACATGCTGCATCACCGCCCCGACGGTGGGGGCGTCCATGGAGGGGCCGCACTCCGCCACAAAGGCAGCCGTCGCGGCCATCGATTTCTGTGCATGGCAGCGGCTCAATATGCTGCGGTTCGGGCGCGCCAGCCCGCGCCCGCCAGGTGCCCCGCCGGCGCCCTGGGAGGGTGGTCAGGGCGCGCGAGGAAGGAGGAATGCGCGAGGTGGGTGGCGGCAGGAAGGTCGTGGCATGCTGATTTGCTTGCTCGCTCACGCTCACATGCCCCTGGGTGTTCCTCATTGTGCGATGCAAGTGGCGGAGACCGCTGTAGTGGGCGTGGCGGACGGGCAGCGCTGCAGCGAGTAAGGTGGATGCACAAGGGCGACTGGCATTGGGGAGGTCCAACGGGTGAGGCGCCCCCACGGATTCCGGTGGCCGCCTAACGAACACATGGGAAGGAAGGGGGCCAGAAGCCGGGGCTCGGCTGTGCAAGCCGCGATCATACCTTGCCGGCCGGGCCGGTCCGACCCTTGGCGCCCGCGTCCCTGCCGCCCCGCCGCGCGCCGCCGCCGCTCCCGCCGCCGCCGCCGCTGCCGCTTTCTTGACGCGCCGCGCGGCCAGGCGGAGGGCCGCCCGGCGCGCCGCAAGGCTCGTATGCGGGTGAGTTTTCGGTGCCGTTGCTGCCGCCGCCCTCGCCCCAGGTGCTCCCGCCGTCCTCACTCCACCCGTCCCCGCCTGCGGTCGCCGCCGCGGCCGCCGCTGCTTCTGCTGCCGCTGCTGCCGGCCGATGCCGGCCAGTCCCCCAAGCGTTGCCGGCTGCGGCTGCGGGCCGTGGCTGCTGCGGGGGCCAAGTTGCCTGCAGAGGCGCTTCTGGTGCCGCCAGCAACCTCTTAGCCCAAGGCAGAGGCGCGGCGGGCACCTCCTGCTGCTGCTGCTGCTGCTGCTGCTGCTGCATCCCCCCTGGTTCGCGCGCCTGCTGCGGCTGGGCCGTCGCCGCGGATGCGCCCCAGGCGGCACCTGCTGCGCAAGGAAAGGGGAAAGGGGATACAAAGCATTTTCGAACCACCCCAGGGCATCGCAGGTGCTATGAGGCAGATGTACATATGCAAGAGGAGGTCTGATCCAATGCAGTTGGCAAACTTACAGGGCCTCTGCGACCGCACCCGGGTGCCGCTGCCAGCGCACCTGCGCCTGCGCCGCCGGCCCCGCCCCACGCCGCCGCGGCCGCGCCGCCGCTGCCCCCCACCCCCTCGTCCTGCTCCCCGCCGCCGCCGCCGCCGCCGCCGCCACCGGCGCTGGGTTGCAAGGCGCGCGCGAGCGCGCGGCGGAGCAGCGCCATCTGGCGCCGTTCGTCGCCCTCCAAAGCCTGCAGCGCGAGGGGTCCTCGTGAGTTTCAAAGACCAGCCGGCTAGGCAACGCGCAGCTGCTTGCCGCCCTGCCCAATTCTGGAAAGATGGAGACGACAGAGACTTCAGCAAAAGCGACAGAGACGCCAGCGGCCGCGCTTTGAGCCCGAGTGGCAGGTCCCTCCGGCCCGGGCCGCGAAACGGGCCGCCCCTGCGCCCGCCCACCTGCCACGCGTCCGCCGCGATTCCGACCACCGTCCAGCCGCGCGCCGCGAGGCCGCCGTTTCGCGCGAGCGTGTCGTCGGTGGGGCGGGGGGCGCCGGGGGGTCCTGTGAATGCTGAGGGGTCCTCCAGCATTATGGCGTACCGCCGACCTGCGACAGGGAACGACGGCCGATTCGTATCACATGACATGGGGCACCGCACCACACCGCATGTGTTCCATGGCGTCGCTCAGCGCAGAGGCGCCGCTCGTGTCTTATAAACGAATAAGCTGGAGGAGCGTTTTTGGGGCCGCGGCGGCTGCATGGCAGGGTGCGATTGGGCCCCTGCGGCGAGGCCGCCTTGTCGCCCTTGTCCCAGCAGGGGCCAGGGGCGGCCCCCCGCCCCGGGGGCACTGCGTGCTGCTCCCCTGCACTCCACAAGCGGACCCTCATTCCTCATGCCTGCCCCTTGAAAATCTGACCTCCTCATGAAACGAGGTGCGATCGCTAGCAAACCACAACAAACAGGTTGACAGGAAGAGCAATGGGTGCAGGACACCAGGGGATCGGAAGCCGAACAGGCGCACCTCCCAGCTCCGCGGCCACGTCAACAGAGTACTCCTCGTCGTCCGCCGCCACCGCGTTGAGCGCCAGCTCCCCGATCTCCGGCAGCGGCCCCAGATCTCCCTCCAGATCTCCGCCCAGATCTCCGCCCAGATCTCCGCCGCAGAGCGCCTCCAGCTGGGCCTGCTCCAGCAGCGCGTGCAGCGCCTCTGCGGCTTCCAGCTGCCGCCGGCTGCGCAGCCGCGACGCGCGGCGCCACGCGTCCCTGGATCGCTGCAGAACTTCTGGGGGCAGCTCGGAAGCTTCCTGGGCGTCGCTGGCCTGGCCGTCGCAGAGCCAGAGGTGGGCCTGGCGGAAAGAACGCGGGAGGTGGAAAGGGTGGTGTCATGAATGAGGCCACGACCAAGGCATGCAGGAAGGGGGGCGTCGCGGGCTGCCTGCCAGACCAGCGGCGGAGAAGGGAGCGGCACGACAGTGCGGCGGCATTCCGGATGTGCATTCACGCACATGCACGCACCTAGCCAACCCAGAGAACCAATCGCCCAGCAAATTGCCCGCCGCCCAGCTTGCGTGCCTCCTCGCCGCAGCACCAAAAAAAACCGCTGACGCGCGTGCAGCAAGCGGCCCGCAGAGCTGTGCGGCTCCTCTCCTCCCCCCTCCCCCCTTGCCCGCCAAATCATCCACGGACCATCCACCAAGCATCCACCAAACATTCACCTGGTAAGCCATCCGCAGCTTTTCGGCAGTGTACTGCCCACCCGCCCCCTCCAGCGGCGGCAGCGAAGCCAGCAGCAACCGCACCTATCGGGGCCACACGCCAGGGCAGGCGGGTCACGCGCTGCATGGTGCGACGCTTCACGCATGACAGCGTCGACGCCACTCCTCGACTACCAAACTGCAGGTTTGAGAACGCGCCAATCAGGGCAGCCGAGCAGCCGCGCCGGTCCCGAACCCCTGCCGCGCCGCCCGTGGCCGCGGACGTGCCGCGCTGCCCACGGCGCCCATGGCCGCGCCCCGCGCCGCAGCTTCCGGGCCGGAAGACGCCCCTGACCCGTTGCAGAACGCTGCGCACCTGCGGCTGCAGCGCGCGCCTGTTGGTGGCCACGGCGAGCCATGCGATCGTGATGACGTCACCGGCGCCCAGCCGGCCCCCGCCCAGGAGACGCGCGCCACGCTGCGGGGGTGTGGCAGGCGGGTGGCAGCTGCTGGGCAGCTGTGATTTTGGCGGAGCTGCCCGAGGCAGTCTGACCCAAGTGAACGGGCGGCGTGGCGTGGCGCTGCGCCGGCGGGCGAAGCGGGGCCGCGCCGGCCGAGGCAGCAAAGTGGCGCGGTGCAAAGGGTGTAAGCAGCGTGGGTGCAAGCCTGCGGGCGTGCGATGCTGTACATGGAGGGCCATCCCAGATCCTCGAACCCTGAACCCTGAACCAAACAAAAACTGAAATCAGAAAGACAACAGATGCCCAGTATCACCCTGGAGACCCCACACATAAAACCCTGAATCCAGAATGCTGAACTCTGCAAGCCCTGCATGAGAGGAAGAGCTGAAGCACTGGAAGCCCTGAACTCTGGAAACCCCAGCCCTGAAACCTCTGAAACCATAACCCCTCAACGCTGACCTGGACAACGAGCTCAACCAGCGACGCGTGGCCATGAGGGGACCGCGCCAGCGCCCACGCCAGCTGAGTCAGCATCTGCAGCTGGCGGCGGGCGGCGGCGGCGGGGAGCGTACCGACCGTGCCGGGGATGGGGGGAGGGAGGAGGAGGCAGGAGCGCAGCCGAGCGTGCAAGCGGGCACGGGCAGGGAGCCATCGGGGGGGGGGGGGCGCGGCTGCCGCGGAAGAGGGTGCCGCGTGTTGGAACGCCCTTGGGAAGCGGAAGCGGTTTGAAGGTGATAGAGAGGAGGCGGCGCCGCGCCTCACCTGGGGGCTGTCGATCAGGGTGGCGGCACTAAGCGCCCGGGTGCAGGTTTTGCAGAGCGGGTCGACAAGACCTGCCTGAGAGGTGGGCATCAACGGTGGGGTAAGGGACAGCGCAGGGGGCGCCGTGACGAAGGGGGGGACGGCGCAGACGAGGCGGGCGTGGTGAGCGGGGGGCCACAGCAGCAGGGCAGGTTGCGGGATGTGCCATGGAGGCTGCTCTTCTCTTGCCGATGCAATACAAAAGACGCCCGTGCAACACCGCAGCCAGACAGCATGATAAAACAACCCCCCCCCCCCAAAACGCAAAACACGACTAGATCCTTCACCACTAAGCACTCAACCCTAAGCAGGCCCTGGCCGCCCTTGCCTGGTGGACCCCCAGCTTTGCACACGCCCACAGCGCGGTCGCCGCTGCGGGGCCATCAAACGTCTCCAGGAGCTGCGGGGCCCCACCCTCGCCGCCGCCGCCGCCGCCGGCGACGCGGGACGCGCACTCTGCGGCCAGGCGTTCAGCGTCCGTCTGCGGAGCACAGGGGGGCGTGGGCCGGCGGATTGCAGGATCTGTGAGCACATCCACCTTGCATGATGCCCATCACACTCACACATGCACGCACGCGCGCATGCACGCATGCATGCACACCACTCTGGCGCGCATCACTGCCCATGCGCGGCCGTGTCCCTGCGCGCAATCACATACCCATGCTCCACCCCAGCGGCTGCTGCCCCTCCGCGCAAGCCCCAGCAAGCCCCCAGCAGCATGGAGCACTCGGTCCCCATCGGGTCTGCACATGGAGAGAACAAAACAAAACAGAACCACGCGCAGCGACGCGCCGCCGAGGCGCACCGGCTCGAGCGACAGCGGCAGGCCCGCCGCCTGCTGCGCCGCGCTGTCGTCGGCGCCGCTCAGCAGCGCCAGGGCTGATAGGTAAGAAGCCACGACGCCGCCATCGGCGCGCTCGAGCTTGTCCGCGGATAGGAAGGCGCTTGCCAGGGCCTTTGGAAGGTGGAGGGCCGGGAGGGTGGCGAAGCGGGGCCGGGGGGCGGGAGCAGAGGCACGATGCATGGGGCGTGAGGACAAGCATGGTTTGGACCCCCAGAGACGGCGGGGCCCACTGCGCCAGCCGCGCCGCGCCCGTGCGGGATCCTAAAAGAGGCGGGTACACCCACGCCAGGCGTGGCACGGCGTTGGGGCCGCGGGGCGGGGGACCGACGGCGCGGCTGCCCGTGTCCTGGGGCGTCTGTCGCTGCGGCGTTTCGAACAGAGGGGCCCCCATGCTCACCAGCCATCGCTCCTGCGGCAGTGGGTCCGCCCAGCCGCCCAGCACGCGCAGCACGCCCGCAGAGCTGAGCACGCGCGCCAAGTAGCGCGCAGGGGCGGACGCGACGTTGCCCGGCCGCGCAAGCAGCGAGAACAGCACGTGCACCTGCATGTTTGCAACAACGAGCGAGGGGCGGGCGGGCGCGGCGTGGGGCAAGGTCGGCTGCGACGGCGGCGGCAAACTTGCGAAGCCTGCGGCGACGCCCGCAGCGCGTGCCAACGGGGGGTTGTCAGCACAGCGCCGCGGGCGCGCATGGCTGCCCGTCACGGGCGGGCGCACGCGCCAGCGCACCTGGTCCGGCGCCAGCTGCTGCTGCACCGCCGCCGCCGCCCACACCGTCTCTGTCGCGTCTCGAGAGGTAACGGCCGGCCCCGCGTCAGGCCCCGACGCCGACAGATCGCACACGCGCGCCGCGCCGGCGCCGACGGCGCGTTGGATGCGCGCATGCGGGAACGCCTCCCCAAACGCGCCCTCGAGATAGCCCTGGCAACGGCGCAAACAGGGGCAGGGCCGCGTGAAGGGGTGCTCCGAGTGGGGGCGGCCGGTTTGAACTCGGGCAACCGACAGCTGCAGAGAAATCTTGGGGTGCGACAGCAGGGAGGGCGGCGAGCCGATACATGCGCGAGCGCAGCACTGCTTCGCTGGACATGGGCAGCAAGGCGGCATGCTCCGCAGGACAGGCATGGCTGCAGGCCTGTGATTGCATGTGTGCGCGCCGCACGCATGCAAGCACATGCACATGCATGTGCCCATGCAAATTCGCCCTTGCATACACGAGCACGCCCTTTGCGGGGCGCGTGCGCGGCCCGCCCCTCAACGCGCCTGCTCCCACAGCCTCGCCAGCGCCGACGCAACGGTGGCCAGCTCCGCGGCGCTCGCGTCCCCGAGCGCGCGCCCAAACGCCCGCAGCGCCGCGTCCAGCGCCCGTGCCGCCGCCGCGCTTGCCACGCCGATCGCGCTGATCGCCCACACTATGTTGGCGGCCGACCGCCCCTGCAGGTCGCCGCTGCAGCCGGGCAGCAGCGCGCAGAGCGCCTCGGCGGCCGCGTGGGCGGCCTTGGCGTCTGCATAGCTCCGCACCTGGCCGGCGCGGCCACGTAAAACAGATAACACATTGTCATGCAACATCGCAACGCGACCTCAGCCAGGGCTCCGATTTCAGAAGTGCACAAAGGTGCGCTGCCCGGGTATATAATAGGCGCCGCCGCCTGGCACGACGCGTCGGCCGGATGGGCGGCGCAGCCACATACGTCCGGAAACAGCCAGAAAGTGATGCAGGCTCTGTGAGACCCGCCCTGGGCAGCGCCCCCGCGGGCCTGCAGCCCCTCACCATCTTTGGCAGGTGGCACAGGGCCGCGCTGATGTGGATGTGGTTCATGCCCGGCCCATACTCGTCGATTAGCGACTTGGTGGGGGACGGCGGGGCGATTTACGGGGTCGCGCGGGGCATGAGGCGTTTCAGGGGCCTGGGTCTAGCCAGCAGGGCGTGTCCATGGGCCCACAGCACGCCAGTGGGTCGCCCCGCCGCCGCCGCTGGCCCGCCGCCCTCGCCCTCGCCTGGTGCGCCGAGCGCACGCGCTCCTCGTGGTCGCCGCGAGCGCTGGGTGGGGCACAGGAAAAGCAACCCCTGCACATGCACTGCCCCCCATGCAGCACCTCGCCGTGTGCATGGGTCGATGGAGTGCCCGGGCAGCCTCCTGGCCTCACCTGGATATCCCGGACACCTTTGGCTAGCTTAATCATCCCCGTCACCCGCCTCGCGTCTCGGTCACCCATCTCGTACCGCTGGGTGGTTGGGTGACACAGGGGCGGGTGTTGTCGGCGGCGCAAATGTGGCGCATGGGGCGGTGGGCGTTCGCTAATTTGGCATGGGTGTTGAGGCTGCTGTGCAGCAGCAGCAGCAGCAGCAGCAGCAGCAGCAGCAGCAGCAGCAGCAGCAGCAGCAGCAGCAGCAGCAGCAGCAGCAGCAGCAGCGGCAGCAGCAGCAGCAGCAACAGCAGCGGCGGCGGCGGCAGCAGTGGCATCTGGCAAGCGGCCTAGCCGGTCAGTGTTGGTGATGAATGGGTATCAGGCACAGTGACGTGTGTTTGAGTGTGTGTGTCGGGGGGGGCGGGGCGGGAGGGAAGAGGGGTGGTCGCAGCTAAGGTGCCCGTCCAAAGGATGAAGGCGCAACACTTGCCTCTCTTTCGTCGACGATCGCTTCAGCCAACCCTTGCCGTGCGCTGGCCGCGCCTCGCAGCATTGCGCTCTGCCGTGCGGCGGTCTGCATGGTACGGGTGCCGCTCGCCGGCGGGGTCCTGGGCGCGGCACCATCTTTGTGATGGGTTTGGGTGAAGTGCACACCGCCGCTGTCCTGGCTGAGCACGCCGCCGCCGGTATCGCCATGGCCGCCCACTGAGCGGCCGCGGCTCCGGCCGCTCATAACGGCCCTGGATCCAGACCTTATGCGAGAAACGCCTTCAGCCGTCGCATCACGCTCTGGTCACCGCAGATCGCGCGATCCTGGCTTCCCGCCTATGACATCAAGAACCTCTTCGGTCGGAAAATTACAGTTCACGTCAGCATTAACATACAATTCTGGGCTTGTGCCTCTCATCTGCGTGGCCCGCGCCCGTCCGCGAGCTGGTGATCAGGTGACGCCGCCAAACGCTGGTGCCAAAGCTGACACTGCAAAGCAGCGGCGCTGCGCGACCACCGCTTGGCTCTGCACGCCTTGATTGCAGTATCGCAAGAGGATGTACAACAAACCCCTCTGCGTAACAAGATAGCAAAACAGGTGCCCACTGACGGGCTCACATCGCATGGTGCCCACGAGTCAGGTACTGTATCCTGCAGCAGCTGCTTGTCGGCACACCCCTGCTGCTTGCCGGCACGCCAAGACAGATATTCAGTCACCAGTTGTTACAGATGTCAAAGAGCAGCACATTCAAGTGGCACATGCTCCAAGCCACAAGAACAAAAGTGCCATCATGGCAGTGCACGCGTTTGCAGTTGTTGGTTCACGCCGGTGTGGGCAGGCGCGAGAGTGACGCATCCCCACATCTCTGGCCAGGGGCTCGGGTTGCGGGCACGTTGCAGCTGGATCCACAAATGCTGCCGTCTGCATGCAGGGAGGAGCGGGATCAAAAGTGACGGTGTACCGGTAGTAAGCAACGATGCAGCCCAGTGGTCCCCGACAGCGGGTGCCGCTTGACTTCAAGCCTGAGGCACATGTTTATTGCACGCCCTTGTCTGGCTCGACCAGCACTCGCATCATGCTTGTGGGCGAAGAGCACAGGGCTAACCGCTTCTGACCATGCGCTTGTGCACTGCACACGTCCAGAGCCTTGTAAACATCCAAGGAAACAATTAAACCGCCCCCCACAACCGTTTGCTTGCCCGAAACCCGGTGCGGCTGCAGGGTATATTATGAAAAGCGCCAATCCTGCTGCGGTGTTGCCACAGGGGGCGGTGTCACGTGGAGGGCGTCTCCGTCTCCTGCGCAAATGCGCAGTGTAGTGCTGCATTGCGCATGCGAGAGGCGAAAAGCACAGGCGCTCCGCCCTCTCAGAGCACCTCACACAACCTGCAGCCGGCACAGCGTTCATTTAAAGCCCAGCTGTGCAATAAGCAACATCGGAGCCAAAAACACTTGCAATTGTCAATTCTCAGTTTGTGCACGTACTCAAAAGTATGGGTAAAGATTAGAGGGAGGCTGCTCCGATTGTGTTGCACTCGCATATCAATACCTGCCGCGCGCAACTGCCTCCGGGTGGGTAGGCAGGTGGGGAGGGGGGCAACTAGCAGCTAGAGGCGGCATGGCGCAGCACGTTGCAACCCAGCAAGCCCTCCAGCAGGTGTTGGTGCCAACGCAGCGCTGGCTGCGCACCGATATGGGTCTCCTCGGCCCCACGCGACTCGAATTCGTGAAACAGCAGACGCCTGCATGCCAGCCGAGGTCCACGAGGCGGGCTGCGATGCAGGCAAGGGCTGCCGGGCGTCCTGGGCCGTCCGAAGCGTTGGACCGGCCGTGCACCGTGGACGCGGTGCCTGGCAGACGCCCGAGGACGGGACCAACCAACGCGCAGGGCAACCCTGCGCGCATGGCGGCTCGGGCTTGATCCAGCACCAGCGCCCGCCAGCCAGGCAGCTGCTTTGGGGTTCAGGGCCAGCTAGGCCGTTAGGGGAGCCTGTACGCCGCAGACAGCAGCCCCTCCGCCTGCAGCGCCACCGCCCCCTTCCCCGTCGCCTGCCTGAACGCGACGCTGGCCGTCAGCCCGCCCGCCGTGAACTTTCCGAGCACGGCGTTCCAGGTGCTGCAGCGCAGGACGAACTTTGCGGCGCCGCCGCCCGCGGCGCCCTTGAGGGAAAACTTGCAAATGGACGCCTTCTTGACCGGCGCCAGCGCGGCAAGGGCGGTCGCGTTGATGCCGAACGAGCCGGTTGCGGCGCCGCTGTTGAGGACGCGCGAGTAGTCGGACGTTATTGCGATGGTTCCGGACGGGAAGGTGACTTTCGGTCGGAACGCCTTGATGATTCCGGGCTTCAGGCTGCCATTGATGGCAAGCTGTGCGGCAGGTGCACGAGGGCAAGAGCAGGGCGCCGGGGCAGGGCAGTCAAAGTGGCAGTGGGGCAGAAAAAGGTCAATGGGTGCGTGGCGAGCAGCCCAAACGAGCGCAGGGGCGCGATAGATAAGATCGTTAAGAAGGCAGGCTGGCAGGGGGCGCCCCTAGCGAGGAAAAGAATGCCGTTGGACGCGTGACGAGTGCCCTGCGCGCCCCCCAGCCGCCACCCCGCTCACGTCCAAGGCCATGCCGTTGACGGCAAAAGTTGTGTTGGTGGCCAGGCGCTTGGTTACGTCGACGTTGCCTTGGAAGCTGGAGACGTCGACTGCGTCCCCGACACGTGGGGGAGAGGCGGGGCGTGCGGGGCGCGAGAAGCAACCGCACTTTGGGTCTGCACACCCGCAAGCTGGCAAAAGGAAAGCCCTTGAATTCTCAAGAGCTTTTTAAACATCTTGTATCTGCTGCCCTGCTGCCTTGCTGAGGTTGTCAAGCAGAAACCCCACATGCACAGCTGCATGCTGTCCAGGCGGGGCACCCGTTGGTCGCCCGCTCAAGGCTCACTTCTGAAAGTCGGGAGGATGGCCGAGGCGCCGCCAATGGAGAAACCCGTTAGCGCGTTGTTGAGCGCCTCGTATCCAGGGTCCTTCCGAGACAGGGCTGAGTCTGAGAAGTTGCAATTAGTCCCTGCGTGTGGAGTGTGATGTGTGCGTGTGTGGCTGTGTGTGCGTGCGCGTGTGCGTGCGCGCGTGCGTGCGCGTGCAGGCGTGTGTGTGCGTGCGTGCGTGTGCACGCGCGTTTGGGCACGCACGCATGTGTCGCAGGCAAGCGCAAGCATGCGACAGGATGCGCGTGGGCACATGCAGGCGCGCGCAACCCGGCCCGTGTGCGCACGCATGCAGCGGCGCAGGGTTCCCCAAACGCCGTGCCCACCGCTGCGCTTACAAACCCCCCATCCCCCTCCTCCCTCGGAACCCCCTCGACCCCACGACTGCGTCAACATATGCAGCGCGAGGTGTGCACCTGCAAGGACCAGCGGCAGCTTCCCGCTGGCTGCGCCCCTCGCGCCATTGTCCGCGCTGTTTGGCTTCACTGTCACAACGATCCTGCTGGTCCTGCCGTTCTTCAGCTGATATGTGGTTGTATACTTGAGCTGTGTGGCCCAGAGACCAATGAAGGTACCTGGGACGATATTTAGATCTGGGCGTGCGCCGAGGGGACAGCAGATGATGTGCATGGCAGTCAGAGGAATGACATGGCGTGGTTGGCGCGGTGGCGCCGCAGGGGGACGCAATTAGAGTGCAGTGCGCCCCCGCCCTGCGGCGGTCCGGGCAGCAGTCGCGTACTGCACCGAACCACTGCAATTTAAGGGGTGACTGCTCGGGGCTGTGTGGAAATGCCTGGCAATGACGGCGCTGGCCAGGTTTCAGTCCGCTCCTGCAAGATGACGACGCACCTACGACGCACGACCCGCTGGCTGGGGCGGCGCTGGAGGGCGCGGGGGCGCGCAAAAGCAGCAGCAGCACGGCAGCCGCCAGCGCCGCCAAGCAGCCCGTCATCGTCTGTGTGTTATGCCCCTGCAAAGGGATGGGCGGTGGATTCAGTTGGGGGTGCATCAAGTGTGGCGGCGGTGCCGCGGAACATCGCGCGTTGCTCGTACTGTAGCGCGCATCGGCCGGGATGAAATCACAGACGCGTCGTGTATTTCTGAGGATACAACATAGAAGGAGGTCTCCTTACTGGCGGACACCGCTTATGAAGGGTTCGGACGGCTCTCACCACGCGAAGTGGAGTAAAAAGTCACAGCTCGATAATTCGGGGGCTCCAGAACCCCGCGAATCAGCCAAGTACCGTCCGGAGACCGAGGCCCGAAGTGTCGAACGTGTGCGCGGCCTGCGGAGAGAACGGTGACAGCGATGTGCGCGCAACAGAAACGGGGTGCCGGCTGCAAATGTCTCTTTGCAACGCGGGAGACGTGGCCGATCCACAGTCGTGTGTTCGATGACACGCAGCCGAGCCCGGCGACCCGACCGTGAACTCGCAACGGACCGCCGCCCTGCGGTGCGCCCGGCACCGTGGCAGCACACCGCGGAGGGCATCTTTCTGTCCGACCAGCGATTGCTTGACGTTTTTTGTTTGGGTTCCCATCACTTGTGGTGAGGAACCTGCCTGCCGCGCCAGCGGCTGGGTGGGGCTAGGTGCAAAGCTGACTGAAGGCATATGCGCCAACAGGGTGCACGCAGACCCTTCGAGGCGTTCCCGCGCGCTCACACACATTGTTAGTCTGACACAAAATAATACCTCAATTGCCTTGGAGCTCTTGTCCGCCGATGTGCCATGAACTGAGCGCTCAGCGATGACAGCTCATTGCCATGCAGAAGCCGTCCACGCACCTGACTTGAGGGCAGGCATCTACCACAAATGTCTGCCCCCTTGCTTAACCAGCTAAACAAGCCGTCTTGCGAGAGGCCAAGCCTATTTTATTATCAGCAGTGTTGCCCGTGGAGCAGTCAGTCTGGGCCAAGGCTCTGAAAAGGGTTGGCATGTGTGTTGCGTGCAATCCAGCAGGGGCGTACTGGAATTCCTTCAAGCGGGCGTGGAAGTACAGCAGGCCTACCGCCCACCACTCTCACACAGCTCATCTCAATCTGCGGCAGTAGCGATCACCTAAAGGCCTGATAGCCCGTTCGTGATGCACAGCGTCTCCACCCACGACTTGAGGCCCGTATGCGGTTGCCCCGCCTGGCCCCACCATCGGTCTGATCCTCAGACACAAAGCTGATACCAGGTATGATGCTGCAGCACAGCCTTCGCTTTCTTCTTCATTACACTATACCAATGGGCCAACAATCAGAGTGGATAGGTACACACTGCACCTTTCACCAGGCAGTCAACATGTCGCTTGCTGTTGCGCCAGGTCTGCAGACCTGGGTGGTTTGCCGCCCCCCTCCCCGAGTTTAAAAGCAGCTGCTTGTGATTCCACAAGTACGATTTGATCAGCCGGTTGCCCACCAAGTAATGGCGAAAGACTGGTACGATTGTTGGAGGATGGACGGGCCCTCAAGCCCAGACGATTGAAGCCCTTGGGCTTGTGAATCTGGGTGCAGCCTGCAGACCCTGCTGGCTTTCTTTCGTGCCCACAGGTCTATTTGACTACCCTCCTGGCCGGCCTTCGGGACGACCAGCCCTGCTGCAGCGTGGTGCCCCACCAAATCGGTACCGGTTGCCAACCACAGTGTGCCAGAGCGGTGATGGCCGACCCCTCTACACGCCCCCCCCCTTGAGGAGTACTTGCCACTGCTTGCAAGCTCAGATGTGCATTTTTATCATGCAATAAGAGGTGACGCTCATATCTGGTACGATCGGAGCGGCGTCCCACCTGTGAGCAGTGCTGCACTCGCCGCACTGCTGGACACTGCGGGCGAGTGTGGCTGCTGAGTGCACACCTGCGCCGCTCATAGCGGCTTCAAAATTTTAGTATGACGAAGATGCACAAGCCATGCTGGTGTAATTCGCATCATTCGTCCATTTCACACCCAAAGACCAGCCAAAAAATGAGAAACGAATCTTTTCCCACTGAAGCGCACATGACATGTTGTACAGATACAAAACCACAAGTAATCTCGAAACAGGTTCTCCCTCACCCACTGTTGTAACCCTGAAAAGGGCTCCGTCACTCACACTTCAACAACTACCATCGCGTCCATTGGCTGCCTTTTGGCTCTGCAGCTCTGCGTCATGGCTATGAGCGGTCGCTTTCAGCGACTCTCTGCACCTGTGCCCAGTGCTCTGCGCTCCTCGGCCGTCCCGCCCTCGCTGGCCAGCCCAGCGCCCAGATTCGTGCGTGCCGCGCTTGGCGCCCGCCCGACGCCGCCCCTGGGCGCCAGCCGACCGCCGCGCAAAGCGCTCACGCCTGCCTCCGCGCCGACCGCGGCGCCGCCTGCCAAGACAGCGGATGCGCCCGCCGCGGCGCCCGCGGCCGAGCCCGCGTCCCAGGCCCCATTTTCTTGGGAGGCCCAATGGTGGCCTGTTCTGGTGGGTGTGACGTGTGTGGGGCACCTGAGGGCGGTGCAGACGTCGCATACAGCAAGTCGCGCCCAGCCCTGCCCTCATCGCATCAGCAGGACAAGCAGCACTGGCAGCACCAGCAGCACTGACATTCTAACAGAATGGACAGCGCCGGCCGCACCAGCAGCACATCGCCACATTGCACCCCTCATCCTCCGGCCCGCTCCCGCCGTCCCGCCTGCAGCCCGTCGCCTACCTTGACCCCCGCAAGCCCCACCCCGTGCGCATGCTGGGCCGCCGCTACGTCGCCTGGTTCGACCGCGCCGGGGAGGGCGGCGGCGCGTGGCGGCTGTTTGATGACGCGTGCCCCCACCGGCTGTCGCCGCTGTCTGAGTCGAGGATCCGGGCAGACGGCCACCTCACGTGAGCTGGGGCAGGCGTGCCTGTCTGTGCATGTGGGTGCGTCGGTTTGCATGTGCGGAGGTTTTTGTGTAGGTGTGGGTGTTTGCATGTTTGGGTGTTTGGGTGTTTGGGTGTTCGGGTGTGCGCGCGTGCTCGCGCGTGTGTGTGTGTGCGTGCGTGTGCGCGCGCGCACTCCAGTAAATAGGCGGCCGTGGGATTCCTGCCCTGAGCTGTTTGACAAAGTATTCCCCGGGCCGCTGCAAGCGCCACTCTGCGCAGCCAAACCCTGTTTGCTCACCTCATCGCTTCCCTCGCTTGCTCAAACCCGTCCAACCCCGCCTATGCAGATGCGCCTACCACGGGTGGTCATTTGGCGGCGACGGCAAGTGCGCGTCCATCCCGCAGCTCGGCGACCCCAAGGCGCGAGACACTGCGTGCCGCAACTCGCGCACGAGCGTCCCCTCTTACCCTACCGCCGTCGAGGATGGGCTGCTATTCGCCTGGCTTGAGGCCGGTCCCGGCGGGGCGGCGGCGGCGGCGGCGGACTTGGATGCCAAGGGGGGCCGGCTGGTGGTGGATGAGGTCGCGGGGGGCGCGGCGAAGACGGTGTGGGCGAGTCATGAGGTGCCGAACGACTACTTGTACTGGGCGGAGCAAGGTGTGTGGGTGCCTGAGTATTGAGGGTGTGTTGATGCATAGTTGTGGGTGCATACGTGCATGTGTGTGTGTGAGAACGTATGGGTGTGCATGTGTGGTGTGGTTGGCGGCTGAGGAGACGAGAAGGAGAGTTGTTCGAGGGTGGGCGGAGCGCGCACATATGCACACATGTGCGCTCATATGTGAGCGCCTCGGTAAGACACCTGCAGTCCGGCGCCGACGCCCGCCGCAAGCGGCAGCCCTGACACCCCGCCACCCCCTTGCATCCCACCCCCTTCACCGCGCTCGGCTCCTTGCCCTGCCCCAAAAACAAAAACTGCAGGCCTGGACCCCTCCCACGCCAACTGGCTGCACCACAATGAGATCGGCTTTGTCATGGACGATGCAGTACCCATGCAGGCGGACCCTATGCCGGCCTCCGCCATCGACCCAGCCAAGGGCTTTGTGTGGCACCATGGGGAGTACCGGCGCCAGGGGCGCGGCGTCGACGCGACGCGCGCGTTCAGGGCGCCCAACTGCCTAATGTGAGAGCTGGGCCGGGGGGGCTGGGGCTCCTGACGTTCACGTGGAAAGCGGCTGCGCCGCCCTTGGCCGGCTATGGTAGTGTTGCGAAGAGGAAGCACGATATAACCAGTGCTGTGCTGCGTCACCCGTCCTTCACACATGACGTGACCACACGTCAGTTGACATGAGTCACACAGCAAAAATGCAGCCGGCCCGCACTTACTGGCCCCACTTGACCCTCCCCG